CATACCAAAATTTCAGCCGCATAGCTTTTGTGGTTGCCGAGTTGAAAGTGCGGGACGAAATGTGGGACACACACAAAAACACACACACACATATACACGCAAACACACACGCAGGCAACCCTGTGATAACATGCGTTTTGTAACGCTGTTACACAGCACAAAACGCATAAAAATGCACCTGCCCAAAGTATTGAATTCCTAAATTATCACTTTCTCAATACTTTATTGAAGTTACTTATGAACTGTCTAATTTGCAGACATTTTTCGGTGCAGTACGACAGCCGAGTAATTTTTAATGTGTCAGTTGACCCGCAAGCGCAACTGGTCATTTACGGTCGACGAACAGCGCAACCGTCACCAACTATTCATGACTTCGCCGATATTATACGGGCAGAACGGCTGGCCGTCATACGAAATTCTTCGTCAAAAAGTCGAATTAGGCGCTCATTGACAGAGGTTTGTACTGGTATTACACAGAAGTAGGGCGTACTTCACGAATGACAACTGTGTCGCCACAGTGTAGCGTAGCCAAGATTTTTCCAAAGAAGTGATATTTACCAATTCTAGTGGTCAGAACACTTATAACAGTGGACGAGAGTCCTAGCATATCAAGGGTTAACCCGGGTCTATCTCAACTTCCTGTTTATTGTACACTTCCATTTCTTGATGAACGACCGGTCACCGAATAAATTTGCACAGTAATGCGTGCTAGAAGTTAAGTTGAAAGTCAAGATGAAATGCGCGCTAGAACAAACCAGTGTTGCAACACTATATCTTGGCCGAGCCTTTCTCTTTGCGCGCGCAAGGTTACGCAGCAACTATTCTTACTGTTAACTATCTGGTTGCTTCACGTTTAGTGCGAAAATACATGATCGCACCTACTTGAAACGCGTACACATAAGATGCAAAAACGCATAATGAAGCGATGAATAATATCAAGGAAAATTTTTCTTGCGAATTTTTTGTCCCATGTTTGTTCAAATTTTATCATAAAAGCATCCACCACGCCGGGAAAATTCTTTCCAAGCCATGTTGTCAAAGTCATATAGATCACAGTATCAAAGTAAATGAGCCGCATTCCCAGTTCTTAAGTGATCCACCCACACAATGCGACTGTCAGTTATGAAGATTATTCATCACTGTAGGACACTCAACACATGACGCATAAGCCTGAGGCCTAGTCTAGAAACTGACATTAGAAGAGGAATTTGTTACACTTCTGTGAGGGTGCAGTTTAAAATTAAGGCTGATTTTTGGTCTGGAGAGTTACACTTCACCAGGAAGTAAGCCGCCTAAATTTGCAGAGGACTTTTCTGAGACGCTAATTCCATACGAGCTATTCCATATGAGGACTTTTCCAATAATTCCATATGAGTTGCATATGAGCTATGTGGACAAGCTTTTGATAAATTTTGCGCGGTCGTTCATATAAGCAGACCACAAAATTTAAAAATATAATAAAGTATTGTTTTCAGTCGGAATTTGAAAATATGTGAGTGCGATAATCAAATACATTGAGGAATACTGCCCGTAAGCTGATAGCTGACTGTTGTCCGTTTCTTAGGTATTTAAAATTAATTTAAAATACCACTTTGCAAGCTGACTGATAATGTCCCGGGAAAATCGGGGTTTTGAATTCAAAAAATTTTTAAACCATGATTCATGACAAATCTTGTAAGACTGCTGCCCTGAAGGCGAACTGATTAATGACTCTGTTGAGGAGGTAGATTTTAGCTGAGCTGCTGATGAGTGTTTAAAGGTAGCGAAAAGCCTGGAAGAGACGATGGATGATGAGTAGTACTGTGTTGCAGCAATTGCTCCGGACATCCATCCTGACACACTATCTACTCGCGGGACGATGGCATATCGGACTGCTCAACGATGCTGCACAGGTTACTTAATTGCTTTTTCACACTTTAATTTAGCTTTGAGATTCCGCTGATTTTTCGGTTTCCACGCCTATTTCTTGCTACACCATGGTGAAACCTCTTAAGTACGGCTGCATGGTAAGTTGACTTTGGCAGTTTTGTCCACATAGCTCATATGCAACCTTAGATCTCACGTGCGGATGCATAGAAAGTTGGCTACGTCAGCTTTTAACTCCGCAACAAAATGCTGAAGGAGTGAAATTTAGGTGAGCTTCTTTTCCAGAGGTATGACACCTTTCGTTCAAAGTCCCTCGCTCTGATTCGCATAAGTGCATATTCTGAGACAAATTTTTCGAGTTTCAGCGCTGATTAGTGCATAAATTGGATTTTAGGGGGATGCTTTAGCGTCCTGGCATTTGGTAGGTGTGTAAATGCAGTCAGTTTATGGCTGTCAGCAATGCTGCTGCTGTTTTCTCAAATATAATAATAGATCAGGTGCTGCTACTGCTGTTTCATTATTC